GAGACTGAGCACAGAACAGGAATAACAGGGCTTAGTACTTTATTATGTAATTAAATTATAAAAGTCCTTTAGGAATCACTTTCCATTGAATTGGGACCAGAAACAGACGCCATGCTTTCCAATTATCTAAAACACACCTAGAAAAGTGGGCCAGTCTATAGGATTTGAAGCAGTTGAACACTGGCCCAGTGGGGCTCATACAACTCCGTTCCCCCTACTTGCCTGTGTGAGCAACTGGCCAAATGGAGGCACCGTAACAGGGCGGTACTCCTGTCTGGATCTGCCACCTTGACGCCATGCTTCTGTTCCAAAGCTCAAGTAATTTTAGATGGCACAGAACTGGGATATGGGAGGTAGGTCCAGAGTATCTCTTGCTGCAATGCCTCTTGCACTGCTTGCACAGGTGTGTACTTTGGTGGGGAATGGGAGAACTGGAGCATTCTTGAGCTTAGCACAACTCCTTCATATACAAATATCGTATATGTGCTTGACTGGATCAAGCCCTGTACTTTTTATTTGTTTGAATTAGAGAGAAAGAGATGTATTAAATTTTAAATAGGCATTAAGTTGTGTAAAAGTGAGGTTCTTTGCACCAGCACTTTGTGCTGTGAAATATGCTGAGTGTTTAAATGAGTCTAGTACAATCAAATCTTCATATTGCAGTTAATAATACAGGTAGTGCTTGACTTACGACTATAATTGACCCAAAATTTCTATTGTTAAGTGAGACGTTTGTTATTTTATGACCTTTCTTGACTCAGTTGTTAAGTGAATCACTGCAGTTGATAAATTAGCAACTTGGCTGTTAAGTGAATCTGGCTTCCCCGTTGACTTTGCTTGTCAGAAAGTTGCAAAAGGTGATCACATGACCCTGGAACATAGCGAAGGTCATAAATATGAAACAGTTGCCCAGCATCTGAATTTTGATCACATGACCATGGGGATGCTGCAAAGTTTGTAACTGTGAAAAACGGTCATAAGCCACTTTTTTCAGTGCTGTTGTAACTTTGAACGATCACTAAATGAACTGTTGTAAGTCGAGGACTAACTGTAGACAGAATTCCTTATTTCCTCCTTGTTAGTCAGTTTTCAATTTCTTTTTATGTTATCCTTTACTGTAGTTCTTCCTTTGGACACAAATCTTACATTTCTTGCACAGATATTTAAAGTTGTGCAGCCTATTTCATAAGATGGTGAAAACAAATAGCAATTTGTTTGGGGCTGTTTAAATACAAACAATGATACCTGCAACTTTCAAATGAAGCACCTGCCCAAACTGCATTTAGAACAAAGTGTTAATCATGCAACTTTTTTTACCTTGTGAAAGAGCTGTTTACAAATAATGAAAAGCATAATATATTGAAGTTGAAAGGGAAGTAATGGTTTTCAAATCTATTGTTTTTATTGTACTTTTACATAAATGTAGCATATTTCAAATGAACAATTGTTTACTTTAGTATATTCTTTTTTGGTACCCTTATAATATTTGCCTTATACTTTAATAAGTACCTTTACATTTGGGGAATAGAAATTTGCATAAAAGTTACAAGTAGGAGATGTCAGATAATCTATGTTTCATTGTGGTTTAATGAGGCTGAACATAATTTGTAAATGTTTCCAAAGAGTTGCCATTTTATTGCAAATTTTGCAGATTGAAGGCTTTTGAAATCTTCTTTATATATTTGAAGTTTGCACTATGTTCTTAAAATTCCAGGTGCTTTGACCCTTAATAAAGAGCATAAAAACAGAAGCTGAGAATTTAGGGATAAAGGGTCTTTTCACACAATCGGGGTTTGGGGCTATATCTGAAGGAGAATGTAAGTGGTTACAATATCTGAGTAAACACTATGTTTTATACATAAGAAAATGTATTTCCTGAGTAGCAGATTCTTATTTTATTTGATGCATCACATGTTTTTTACTACTGTTGAGTTGTAATTACAGCATGAAGTGTTTAATTCAGAAGCTATTCAAATTGTGCAGTTTTTATTTAGTTTACTAGTGCACTCCCTGTTGAACAAATTGTGCAGGAATATATTTTGTTTATCATTGATGTATGAAAACTGTACTCTCTCTTATTACTAAGCAATGTTTTGTGTGATTGCGTGGAAAGATCTTAAAAGATATTTTCTAAATTGGACAAGAACAATCAATAGTTCAACATAGTTTCACGAAAGCAAAGACAGAAGAGTTGTGGTTAAATATTCTTTGAAACCTCTTCAGTAAATGTCTTCACAACCTCAATGTTAAGTTTTCTGTAATACAGTGAAATAAATTCTGAATGTGATAAGTGGGATAGGAGAGCAGAGCAAGATACCAAATGTTTTGATGATATTTCATTTACAAGCCTTGTAGCAAGGTGATATGAATGTATTAAAAGGCCAGCATTATTTTACCTGTGAGCTCGTTAAATATAAATAATTGACAAGTCCCAGGTTATACTGAATATAATCTGTAATTTTTTTAAAAAATGACTCAGATTCTATTTCTGTAATTTATACAATTACTTTATGTGATCTCTAAAAAAAAGAGGGTAAATGTTGCTCTCTTAGGACTGCTTCACATTTGACCTGTTTCCTACTGAGATAAACTTTCAAGAAATAAAGCACACGATTATTATATATAGAAACAAAAAATATTCAGCTTGTCAACAATTCATGTTTATCTTGTTTCCTACATAGAGCTACTTGCTCTATAGGAAGTTCTTCAGATTTGAAGCAGTCCTTGGTGAAAACTCTTTCAACCAAAACATGGTGAATTTAGCTTCACTAGTCAGTCTACCTCACATTTATTTTAACTGAAGTTTTCTGCAATTGTGTCTATAGTATGTTTATAATGTTATTTCATTAAATTCAGTAATGTTATTATCTTTGAAGTGTTGGTCTTAATATAGTGCAAACTCTCTGTGGGTCTACATGAATGAAATACTTTTAAGTCTCTTTCCATTATACAATCCAATCTTTTAATTTGGTTTTGCGTTGCTTATTCTTCTAATTTTGTTAAAGGAAATTGATGTACATTAAAATCAGTGGTTTTTTAGCTTGGCAACTTTAAAATGTGTGGACTTCAACTCTCCTGGCATGTGGGTTGGGGAATTCTGGAAGTCGAAGTCCACACATCTTAGAGTTGCCATAGTTAAAAAACACTGACATATATTATGCTGTTTGTATCACTTCAGCTAAAAGTATGCTAAGTTACTTTTTTGTCCATTTCAGAAGCCTAGCCTTATGTGAAGGTACAAATCCATATAAGTAGGAACCAGTGTATAAATATTTAAACTTTCCTTTACATTGGCATAGGTCCTCAAATATCACCCAAAAGTTGCAATTTTAGTATGTCCCCAAGATGCCCCTTTGTTGATGGAAAAACGGTATTGCTTGGGATTAGATCGGACTAAATGGACCTGCAGGATACATATTGGTGACATCAAGTTTTATCAAGCTTCAAAAATAGTAGTGTAATTGTTGTCCACTCTGTGCATGAGGGAACTAACCTCTAACTGTAAGTTAGTAGTAACCAGTTAAAGGATATAAGAGCCTTTACTGTAGTTCATTTAAATGCCTTATCAATCCTACTGGAAAACAAATATTTAATATTCCCACTGTTAATATGTGTAGACCAATGTAACAGATCCTTTTATGGGGAACCTGATTCAATTCATATAATACACTTATTAGTCTAAATATAGACCAAGGCAGAGATCATATTATTTCTCCACTGTTGAAATAGCTAGATGTACTTCTGTTTTATGGTCAGATTCTGCACCATGTCAATAGTTAATCAATTAAATGCTACTTATGTTTATTAGGTTTACACTATATTGATTCCTCAGAATTTTTATTTTGATCAATTACTGATACAATAAACTTAATAATTACTCAAATAGCCAATACATAAGCTAATAGTTAAACCTGTACTAGCTAATCGTTAATCCAAGGTGACTGTAGATGCTTAATTATCTATGTCAGGAAGCAATGCTACAGCATTTGCAAGGAGTTTTATTATGCATAGGAGCAGAACAAAGCAGGTCTTTGTTAAAAAGCTATTGCCTTTTTCAAAGCTCATATAATGCTTCATAATTACAAAGACAGCCATGGCAGCTTCTAAACAATACAAACAAACTTACAAAATACATGGTTGCTGTTACAGAAGAGATAAAAATTTCCTTAAAATTCAGAAAGTTGTGCAGAAACTATCTTCTGATTGAAGTATTGAGCTCATGAACTGATGGCTTAATACTACACAGTCCAAAACTTACAGTTAAGATCAATAGGCCTGCCTCAATATAGAGATACTTGTTTTATCCCCCTTGGGAAATATGAATTATAAGTGTCACCAAGATTTAAGATTTAGAACCAACCTTAAGAATAGCCAATGGGAGTTCTAGCCCTCCATTTTAATTGCAATTCTGTAAAATGATGACAGAGATACATTAAAAAAAATTCCAATAGAAGGAAAAGTTTTAAGAAATTCATGATTACAGCATTTCTTTTGCAGGCTCTATGAATGATTCCGGATTTTAAGTTTTAGAAGGTAAGAAAGGTATGCTTATATTTTGGGCCTAGTATAACCTCAAATTAACAAGATAATAATCCACTTTATGATTTGACAATATCTTCCCGTGAAAAGGTGATCATATTAGCATGACTAAGCATGAAGGTAGCCATTCTGTCTATAACATATTCAGGGTAGGAAACGGCTTAAATACTAACCAGTACTATTTTTTTTTCTCACACAGAATTATCCAGGAATGGGACCACAAGCCTATTTTGTATGTAATGAACCTGAAAAAGTATTAATATTAAAATCCATTGTGTTACTGAAGAACAGATCTCTTGAAGATATTTCTGTAGCAAACATTGGAACTAGACTATTATACAAGGCACTGTTTTGAACTGGTCAAGCTACTTGTAGACTGTAATATTAAGTTATATGCTTGTGATCACCAAAATGTAAAAGCTACAACTGTTAACCACCCAAAATCATTATTACACCAGACCAGTGTTTCAATCAACTTTTAATAGTCAATAATATCAAAGACATTGCTTAAATACATTTACCATTAGTAGATTAAAAGTTATCAAATGTTTTCTCTTTAAATCTACATTATATACATGTCAAGAAAGGCCACAGCAGTTTTTCATTATATACACCCTCTGAAATAAGAGGGGTTTTAGGCTAAAGTATTGTGAAGTCCACAAATTAAAGTATATACCCAATTTGCTATTGCTAAAGTATAGTTGGAGGCATACTTTTCAAAAGGAGCTAGTATCTTTCTTTTTAAACTACTATTTCCATTCAACATATATAGTGAGCCAATTATACACTTTGATTAGATGCTATTTTTTATTGATCTTGAATGCAGAATATTTTCACACCTCTAGCAAATACAGATTGACTTTCTCATTGCCTTGGTATATTATTACATTGTGAACTTCAAAATATACTTAAAAGGCGACCATAGTTCTTGCACTAATTAACAGTCCACTATGAACAAATTATTTACTGCATGTAAACATGGCTAGTGTACTAGAGATAATACATATTTTTTATAAAAATATCTTTCAAAATTATCCTACTTCTGTACTATTTACAATTTTAATAAAATACAACCATCTTTTCGGTTGTTACTACTCCTGAGTTCACTGCTAATAAAAGTCCAAACATCAGCAAACAAAGTTAATGATTTCTCATTACCTTTTATTATAAAGATTACCACTTTGAGGCTGTTGTCCATTGAGAAAATTATATACCAAAAATTGACTAGTACCAAAATACTGTGTTGCAAACAATTTTCCATCCGGAGTTGGGTCAGAAAAAGCAATTTCTTCTTTACTTAAATATGAGCCATATATAAAATTGTTTCTGATTAAAAACAAGATAAAAAAATCACTGTGACAAAATAAAACTGGCAAAGAAACTTTTAAAAAACATATACTTTCCTACTGGTCAAATAATACCTATGAATCGAGGTAAAAATACTGCCCTAAATACAATGTATTTTAATGCTTCTCAAAAGCCAGTATTCAGATGCTACCTAATCTTGTCTTCCTCTTAAAATTATCACACCTCTGAAATAGTCACATCTGCTCTCATAATTAAAAGAGTTTCCAAATAACAAGTAGTGAACAATTTAACAATTCTTAGTTGTGATTGGTCAGGGTTAGGGTTACTTCCAATTGATTAAATAGTATATGTATATACTAAATATGTATATATTAAATACAGGGAAAGCGCCTCAGAGGGAGACCTGAGCTGGGATATAAGGATATCTGCAAGAGGGACCTAAAGGCCTTGGGAATGGACATTTAACAGCTGGGAATCCTTGACCTCTGATCGTTCAGCCTGGAGGCTAAAGACGCAGCATGGCCTTCTCCAATTTGAAGAGACACTTGTGCAGCAGGCTGAGGCAAAGAGGCAGTCCCGGAAGCAGCAAAATCTGGGGGCTGGACAGGGGACAGATTGTATCTGCCCTCAGTGTGGACAGGACTGCCACTCTCGAATTGGCCTTTTTAGCCACACCAGATGCTGCCTTAGGACCTCCTTCCAGAGCACGATACCATAGTCTCTCGAGACTGAAGGATGCCAATGCCAATATATTAAATAGTATATGTAATGTAGGTGCCTGCTAATAGTTCATACTAATGCAAAAGGTCCTTACCTCAAGCATTCTAAAATCCGAGAAGCAATTTTCTTCCGTCGCATCATGCTGAACACCCAAATGCGACTAATGCCACATATGGCAGGCTCAGGAGTTGTTGAGCAGCACCAGGCCTTTTGCCTTTCAAAAGTGAGCTTATCATTTTCTGAACTAATATCTGGAATCTTTTCTTCAATAACTCTATACCCCTTGAGAAACAATAATAGCATACTTTATGATTAAATATTAACATATTTATAATAACAAATTGCTATTTTAACTATTTTAACTATCTCCTTTCCAAATATGATATTAATGTCATATTTGCTGAGTAGCTCCAAACAATGTGATCATTATAATAGAAAAGAAATTTTATAGGAATGATTTATGTCAGCTGCTCCCATGCCCAAGAATGAAATACCAACTGACAGCTAGTGCAGCTACAGTTCCAACGTGTTATGCACTGAAGAGGACCACTTTCCTTGGAATAGTTCTATGGATAACTACCAAAAAATTATCTTCAGTAGCTTTGCTATTTGAAACAAAAGAGATGGCTAGAATTATGGGGAAATCCACTTGCCACATGCACTTCCTTTTCCAATAGATGGTTGAGGCACTTTACACATCCCCCTCTCCCATATAAGAAACATCTTTCTACAGTCATTACACAAGAAAATACCTCAAAATGCAGACCTGCTGAGAGATCTTTCTCCAATGGATGAAAAAGTATGGCAGGAGAAATCAGCACAAGCATTAGAAGACAGCAAAAACTGCTTCTCTCTGCAGCCTTCTTCAAATGATAATGAATTTTGTACCAGTATTTGAGAGATTTACCAGCAGCACGAAGAATTAAAACACAACTGGCTGCTATAGAGTGTGGATTGCTGTGTTTTCTGCAACCAAGTGTTGCACTGCAGTTTTCAAATTGAAGCCTAAAAATTGAGAAGACATCTCTGATATGTATTTCAGGTGGCTACTACAATAACTGCTACTTTAAGAATTGGTATTTCTTTTTACATTCTATCTCCATCCACTTTTTCCATTTTAGGTTATAAACAGAAATTGACTTATTTTAATGATTAATTTTTCACAGGAAATAATCTCATAGGTTCCAACATTTTAAATAAAAATATATGAACTTTCTAAAAAAAATGTAACTAAGAAAATAGTTATCCACAGTTTACTCACCCATTGAATATGTTCTGCAATTAAGCAGCCAATTACTTTTTTATCGTTAGAAATAAATAATAGAGTCTTAGTTCTGGAGCATGTTAGAGGAGCTTGTTGGAATCCCAGATCATTATCAACCATCTCTCTGATCTCATCAACCTGTCAAATAAATACCATAAAAAGCCTTAGAACCAATGTATTCAAAATTATATTTTTTTTAAAAAAAGAACAAAATATGCATTCTAACCAGAACACATTGGAAAAGCATAAAAATATTTTTGCATAATTGATCAAAACTCAATACAGGTACAAATTTAGAATGTTTTGGTATGTAATTTGTATGGAATTTAACCTAATTGGGGAAGGAAAATCTATTTAACTCATCTACCCATATAAACACAAAAAATGTGCGTAAAAGAAAAACAAAACTGCAACAGTGGAACAAAACTTTAGAATATACAATGTACACTGAAATGTAACAACTAGAATTCAAATTATAGTATTAAGCCCTATAAACAAGCTTAATACAATCATAGAGACACTAAGTTTGACACTAAGCCAAAATTTTCTGCATTCTTGTGATACAGTACACAATAGGTAAGCTGTCAATTTCTCTCACATTGCACAGAGTAAGATACACTGGTTTGTTTCTGCTATTAAACTTGTCATGTCCTGCAAACAATTCCATTTAAATCCATTAGGGAAGATGGTTTATTTCTCACTATGATCTTTCAACTGAAAATTAAATTCATAGGCTCTACTGACACATTAAATTTGATATGCCCTTCTCATGCCTGTCTCATGTTAATAAGAACAGCTGAAATAATCAAAATGTGGAAAGTCTTGTATGTATTTGGCAACTTCAGTGATAAGAAAATGTGTAGGTTTTTATTATCACATTCTTAAGAATAGCAAACCACTGTAAAAAGCTTATCAAAGCCTTTTCGTGTCCATTAAACAAAATATAGTTCAAGACATTTCACCTACCTTTCTCAGTGCATACTTGGGATCATCAGGAAGGACCATTATAATCTTACCATCAGGATACTCAGACAAAATTCTCTCTTTTTTCCACCCCTAAAAAGGGAAAAAAATGCTCAGCTAAACACAAAGCTTTTATACTTTTAGTCCATTGTTTAAAATTACACTTTTAGCTCGTGCTAAATAATTCACACTTCTTAGCAAACAACAATCCTGACTAGATGGAGTTCTACTTCTCATAAATATAGCTTCCACAGAAAATTATGAAAGTATTTTGCACTTTAAACTCTTTTAGGGCTGAGTGATACTTTGGACAAAAGTTGGTTCTAGATACATAAGAGTTCAAACATAGCACACACCCTCCATATCTCTTACATCATCCTAGAAAAAGACGGCTGCTTTCAAGAGATGTAGAGAGGTGCTGATCCAGCACTTTGTTGGATTGAAATGAAGCATTGTGCAGCCCCAGTCTTTTTCCACCAGAATAATTGTAAAATTCATCTATTAAGAATTAGGAAGCATATTTTCTTAATACAGCAAATTTCCCAAAAATCAATTCAGAGCTTGTATGTGCAAGCAGGAGTATGTATATACATACACTATATAGCATTTCTTTAACACAGTTACCTCCACAAATATGCGTACATTTTGATAAGTGGCATGCAACAGACCTCCAGGAGGTTTTCAGTGAACTGAATAGCATGCAATGGTTCAGTGGTTCAAAAGATGAAATAATTTATTGTGTCACTAATTATAACTAATAGTCACAAAAATGAGACTATAAACGAATAGCTACCTTCTAACACCCTAAAGGGGAAAGTTGCTATGCTGTGTGTATCTGAAGTTAAACATACTCAAAAATGAGGTAATTAACTCTTCTTCAGATCCACACTGATGGTGATAAATGATCAGTACCTGCATGAAAAAACAAAACAAAAAGCCACTTAAGTCTATTAAGACTTAATTTTATCCATAAATTAAGAGTTCATGTTGTTTGCAAAGGCTGCCTAAAGTGGTATTTATAGGAAGTCTAAAGAAAAGTACCATCATTAGGCTAATAAATCCAAAAGCCTTACTTATATTCATTAAAAAAAGGGAAGACAGAAAAAGAAAGTTCACTAAAAGTTAAACAATTAAATATATTCTACTGACACTTATATTTTCACTGCTACATACTGTTATAACATTCACCCAAGAAAACAGGCTGAAATGACACTACCAATCTGTAGGAGAAGGAATGACACAACCTGGGGACAGGGTCAAAAGAGGAATTAACTTAAAGTTTCTTTATATCAGCGGTTCTCAACCTATGGGTCGCGACCCCATTTGGGGTCGATCGACCATTTTTTGGGGGTCGCCAAAGGCGGCAATCTGCCATTTTCTCCCCTCCGGGGGTGGTGCCGCGCATGCGCATAACGTTTGTGACGGGGGTCGCCGTCACACAAACGTTGAGAACCGCTGCTTTATATAATCACAAACAGATTAAATACAACTTTTGAATTCCGCTGACCCTTAACTAATGCCAAGATAGTGCTAACTAGTTGTATAAATTCTTGTGCATAGGCATGATTAGTAATAAATCAGTTTAACTGGAAGTTCATTTGTGGTCCTGGTCTTTTGAGGTTAACAAAATCATTCAAATAAAGATTTTTCTGATATCATTTGTGATAACAATTACATTTGATCATTTCATTTCATCAGATTTCTATGCCCACCTATTCATAAATCAAGTCACTTTGATTTTAGAGTCCCAAAATATTATTTTAACGTCTGAAAACATTAATTGGATGATACTTTCCTAGGATTTATTTTATTTATTTAGAAAATGTATATGCTACCTACTCCTTTAATGGCTCTAGGTCAGGGGTGTCAAACTCAATTTCATTGAGGGCCGCATCAGCATTACAGTTGCCCTCGGGAGGCCGGGTGGGTGTGGCCAGGGTGGGTGCAGGGTGGGTGTGGATGGAGTGAGTGTGTCCTACTGGGTGGGCATGTCCAGCTCTACATCGTTCGCGTCAAGGGTGCCGGTGGGGGCCTGGGCAGGAGTGGGACAGATCTGAGGGTCTCTGGCAGAAGGGGGTGGGACTGGGGCAAGTGCCAAGGCATGGTCCATTTCTTCATTCCTCACAAAGGGTGACACCTCCCCAGCATGCACCCGAGGGGTGGGGCCAACACGGCAGGGGCCGATTCCTCGCTGTTTCTAGACAGCCTTGTGGAGCTAAGACTGAATGTGTTTCAGCATAGATGGCCATCACAAAATTGTACATTGGCTCCCGGATGGCTTGGGCCAGGGCCAAGGCAGCGGGGGCCATTCCCTCACTGTTTCCAGGATGGTTTCGCGGGCCACATGAAACTTCGCGGGCCACATCCGGCCTCCGGGCCCTGTGTTTGACATGTCTGCTCTAGGTAATTTACAAAAATATTGTAATAAAGCTATCATTAAAAACAAATATAAAAGATTAAAAACTCAGACAATAAAAGGCAAATAAATATGAATATTTTAGCCTTCTCTTAGAGGGTAATAAAGAAGGACTTGATTCAGCTCCAGTGGTAATTTATTCCAAAGCAATGCCATATCATCCCTCAATAATTGATTTATAGTTTTGCCATTCTTTTGTTTTATTCAATTAATTAAAAAAACTATTTAAAAAAGAAAAGGCAGAATTAACTGTTCATGTCAAATACTTTTGCAATGGTAGCTACAGCAGTTAATTCACTGATGTTATAAGAATGAGGAAATATTATGTGAGCATATGAACTAAGCTTTGAACATTAGATTTTTTTATGGTATTTAAAGTATTTTATTTAAGTTGACAATAATTTTAGGGCCTAAACATTAATTAAATAAACGAAATAAATGGCTGCAACAATAATTAATTGGGGATTAAGGTTTTCAAATATATTGAAACAGGATTTAACTCTTAATTCAAATTATTATTTGTGATATAGAAGGACACAAAATTATATCATGTAATTAAATTATATCACATAAAAGATTTATTTTCCATAAATCCACCCAGTTTGGTTATGATGTTTCAAAAGTCCAGTTTTAGCTGGAAACAAATACTAATAAAAATTGCATACATTTGGATTGTAATGAAATATTAATATATGCTACTAAATAACAAGCAACTTGTATTATAGCTTGACTGAGTTTTCTATTTTGAATTAAAGCCTAGCAAAAATATTTTTTAAAAATAGAAAAGGAATATACTATATTGAATTGAAAAGCAGAGGTTAAAAAACTGATGCTCAAATTTCACCTTAAGCTCTGATCATTTAATTATTCAATCATTTTGTTACTGTCCTACTACCACTGCTTTTCCAGATACTTTAAACGTCCTGCTCTACAGAGCTTTAGTAATGTATTTCTTCTGTAAGTAGGCAATAGTTTACAGTTAGGTCAGTAAGATCATGAAACTAGTTAAGAGCTTTTGTAAATGATTAAATCACCAGCTAGATTTGAACCAGTTTGTATTTGTGTGGTAGACTTTGGAAGCAGCTGGGGGAGTTCAATTCAATTATCCTGGAGGTCTTATCAATATCAATGCAAGTTATGGAAGGTAACATATATGATAAAGAAAATAGAGTTTTAGTAGTCTGAATATAAATTGCAGGGGAATATAATGGTCAGTTGAACAATCTTGTATGAAATATTTTAAACATAAACTGTGCTATTGTGCAATTAAATGCTAATTATTTTCTACTAGCCAAACAAAATTTCACACTAAAATACCACTATGGCAATATTATTTTCACAGTGTATGTAAAAGCACAACATAATGCATGGGCAACAGGGCTATAGAGTGCTTTTGATTTGATTCCAAAAGTGGTTCAAAGCATTCCTTCTGCAGCTGCCACATGATTCCTGGAAAAGACACAGCTGTTTTAAAGGGTGGCAGACAGGTTTCCAAGTACTTTGAACACCTTTTTGGATTTGAACTGAATCCAAAGCACCATAGAGACAGTATTAGGTAACTTAGATGATATAATATTTACTCACTAAAGAATTAGTTAGAAAAAATGTGAAAAACGATTATTCATTACTTTATTTAAACTAACAAGTAAAACATTTTTAAATGGATTTGACCGTTGCTTTAAGCATAATTTTGAATAATCCACTGAGACTATATAAAATAGTTTATGCTTTGGAGCAAAGAAAAAAAATATGCTTACCACGTATTTTACTGCACTTATAAACTGGTTATGAAAGAGCAGATGTTGGGTTTCATCCTCAGGATTTGAAGCTGTATAAAGCATTCCACAAATATTACAGGAAATAGCACCAAACCGTTTTTGTCCTGCATCCTATATATTAAAAGTTAAAATATAGTTCATGAAACAAACTTTCCTAACCAAATAATACAATTTACTGAACAGAAATAGCTGCAAACCCATGTCATTAAAATACACAATTAAAGCACTTTCAATATCAAGGATAGCAAATTTGAAGAGCACTCAAAATACATTTGTTGTGATCTGAAGCAAATTAGCTCATGGCAATACTTAAGGGCTAATTCATTACCAGAAAAATAACATGATCTTTCCTGCCAATTAAAATATGTATGATAAAATAGCACATTCTTCTCTATTAATTTCTGTTAGTTCAGGGAAATCAAGAACTGGGGAACCAAGTACTGAGAAACCAAGACAGGTAGTCCTCGACTTAACAACAGTTTGTTTAGTGACCAAAGTTACAATGGCACTGAAAAAAGTGACTTACGACCATTTTTCACAGTTATGACTGTTGTAGCATCCCCATGGTCATGTGATTTACATTCAGATGCTTGACAACTGGTTCATATTTATGATGGTTGCAGTATCCCAGGGTCATGTGATCACCTTTTGCAACCTTCTGAGAAGTAAAGTCAATGGGGAAGCCAGATTCACTTAACAACCAGATTACTAATTTAACAACTGCAGTGATTCACTTAACAAATGTGGCAAGAAAAGTCGTAAAATGGGGCAAAACTTTCTTAACAAATTTCTCACTTAGCAACATAAATGATGGGCTCAGTTGTTGTTAGTAACATTGGCTTCTCAATAATCTGATGTCATGAAGCCATCATATTCTGTTGCTTATTTCTTTAATACTATAGGAAGGTTCCTTGTTCTAGAGTTTTCTGAACTCTGTCAGCTTACTTCTATAAATTGCTTTGCAGACAGATACACTTCATTGTGCTAAAAGATATGAAGGGCCATGATGACTGATATCCAATGCAGAGAAAAGTCTGGGTCCTCCTTAGAAGATACTGGAGTTTCCTAATAGCTAGGTGAGGATCAATATAGCAAAGATAGGGTGTTTATCACAAAAAAAAAAAAAAAAAAACAGAACAGAAAGATTGTACTAGTGAGGACAGACCTTTGTTCTTCTAAATCACATTTTAGGATTTTGGATCACTTGGAAAAGGCTATTCAATTCAGACTAACCTACAACAGGTTGTAGTCCAAATTTCAAGAATGTAAATTATTTTATTGCTGTTCTTTACCAGGTGGAATAACAGAATAATAGAGTTGGAAGGGACTTGGAGGTCTTCTAATCCAACCTCGTGTTCGGCAGGAACCCTATATTATTTCAGACAAATGGTTGTCCAATCTCGTCTTAAAAACTTCCAGTGTTGGAGAACACCTACAATGTCTGGAGGCAAGTCTTTTCACTGATTAATTGTTCTGTCAGGAAGTTTCTCCTTAGTTCTAGGTTGCTTCTCTCCTTGATAGTTTTCACCCATTGCTTCTTGTCCTGCCTTCGGGTGCTTTGGAGAATAGATTTAACTCCTCTTCTTTATGGAACGCTGCTATCATGTCACCCCTAGTCTTTCTTTTCATTAAATTAGACATACTCAATTCCAGCAACCATTCTTTATATGTTTTAGCCTCTAATCCAAGATAATGGTTGGCCATATCTGCTGTACAACAATTACATATAATATGTTTCTTCACTACAATGAATGGAAAATTATACTAGAATCTTTAAATTAGATTTAACCCATTTTTCTACTTTCATCATAACAGAGATAATATTTTTCTACTTTATTAACATATTATACTTTACTAACTTATAAGATAAAAGCCTGACACATATTTAAGAATTGTTTTAAAGTAACAACCTATAACTTGCCATACACAAATACTTACTATGATTAGCTGCTTATCGCCATCTTTTGCAGCTTCTTTTAATTTTTGAATATGTTCTTCAGATGTAAGAAAACCATCACATTTTGTTGTTAATGGAACCTTTGGCACAGATGCCCTTTATGCATAAAAATAATTCACAAGTTACTGTTTATGTATGTATTCTAATAAAAATGTATTTCTCTTCCACACAATTCAATTGAATTAATATTAAAGCTAAGTAGAACAGAGTGCAATACAAGACACTTAAGGTCCCGGAGGAAAAGCAATCAAATAAATAATTTAGCTATGCTTCTATCAAAAAAAATGTTTCTCACATTTTACAGCAAGCAAAATTTGTAAATGAATAGGCCAATCACTTTTGATCTGAAAGACAAGGGCTGCAAATATCAGCTTGATTGTCCACAAAGAATGTTTTGTTTAAGATGGTCACAATCCTGTCTTATCTGCTGGGTTTTTTAAAAATTTTTTTAAATAAACCTGATCTGTTGAGATACGGTGTTTGCATGATGGTATGACCACCCTGAGTCCTTTGGGATTGGGCGGCATATAAATACTGAAAATAAATAAATAAAATAAATAAATGACAGATATATCATGCTCCTAGCAAAAGGATAAAAAGACCACCTCCATATACTCCATCATCAATCCTTCTTATTTCATGAATGGAAGCAATTATAGGTAGTCCTCCACTTAACACTTGTTTAGTGATCATTCAAAGTTGCAATGCCCCTTAAAAAAAGTGACTTATGACCATTTTTCAGTTACAATCTTTCAGCATTCCCATGATCATGTGATCAAAATCCAGATGCTTGGCAACTCGCCCATATTTATGATCGCTGCAGCGTCCCAGGGTCATGTGATCACCTTTTGCAACCTTCTGACAAGCAAAGTCAATGGGGAAGCCAGATTCACTTCACCGGATTACTAATTTATCAGCTGCAGTATTTCACTTAACAACTGTAGCAAGAAAGATTGTAAAATGGGGGAAAACCCACTTAACAAATGTCTAACTTAAGATCAGAAAATTTGTGCTCAGATGTGGTTTTAAGTCAAGGACTACCTGTATTTTACTTAGATATCTATGAGGAGGAAGTTGGAACTATGCTTTCTTTTTTCTTCAGGGTAGAGAGGGAAGACTTCCTGTTTGAACTACGATTCTGTTCCTGCTTCATTTCAGCACTGAAAAGGGAGATATATATAGAGAGAGCAAATGCTCTCAAAGTAGTAATAACAGCAATAATAAAACAAAAACATGCAAAAATTCTTATCTATTAGGTGCAATTGCACCTAATAGATAAGTCACAGCCTATTTAAAGTCTCTATTGAATATCTGCTTATTTCATTTTAATGCTGCCTTCTCTCAAGAGTTAGGTAGTATACAAAACAATTAAATATGTTAAGTTGAGCCCTTAACAATAAAAACAGCATAAAATCCATTAACTCATATTACCGACAGTTACACGAAGAAAATGGCTATGTAATAAATATCTGTTTAAAAAGTGAAGTTTTCGACGCCTCGTGAAATGTCAGAAGGTTTACAGCCAGGCAGTTCTCTGAGGGCAATGTGTTTCCAAGGACAAGGGCTACCGTGGAACATCCCTGTGTCCCAGTCTGTACCAATCTTATGTTCAGTGGGATGGATCCCCTCCTGTACAACTATACAAGACAGGCAGAATCTCACAGGTTAAAATGGTCTCTGTTGTGATTGGAGCTGCACTGTGTAGGGCTTTTCGATAATAATTAACTGTCTGAATGGAGCTTGGAAGCCTGTGGGCAGCCAACATTGGTGTGGCTGCAACATAGGCATTATCTCCTTCTAACATCCTGGCTGCCACAATCTGATACAGCTTGGAAATTATCTTCCAAGATAACAAGCATATGATGCATTATACCAGTAGTAGTGCAATCTCACAAGAACTAGAGTAGAAGTTACAACAGCCAAGTATTTTCAGATCAAGTGGGGCTGTAACAAGCACACTATCTCCCTACCAGGGCTTCCACCTGCTTCTCCAGCAGGAACTGCATATCCAAGAGGAATCCCTAATCATAGACCTGCTCCTGCAGGGGAAGCACAATCACTGTAACTTAAGTTCCTGGAACATATATTTACTAACAAACAATATCTTTTCTTACCAGACTTAATCTTGCATTTGCTTGTGTTCAAGATTTCAATAGTATCTCTAGCTTGGCCTTGAAGGTTATATAACTGAGTATCAATAGTGTACTGACACTTCACTGTGACAGGAGACCCTATGATTTGATAATTTTCCTCCCAGAACTGACTAAAACAACTCTTTTTGGTACAAGCAGGGCTCCTGCAGAGCAGCACTCAAATCATCTGCAGACAGTCAGGATGCCATTAGAATACAGAAGTATTCACATTTTGCCAGTCAGTGTCTGATTTTCAACATGGGTTTATACTATTACTGGGTTGAACTGACTTTTGGTATTATACCACTGTTATACTAGGTTTTTTTCCCCACCTGTTTCATATCTCTTAACTATGTTCAGGATCAGCAACTGGAAAGAGACCAACAGTCACTCTTATCATCCCTTACAACCATTATCTACAGTGCAGTCCTGTTGGGCCCACTAGAGCCTCTCTGAAATTGCAGCTAGCCTTTCTTATTTATTTATTTATTTATGAGACTTATATACCGCTTTAAGTGCAAGCACTCTCTAAGCGGTGTACACCAGTAAGCAATGTATATATATATTTACATTGCCCCCAACAATCTGGGTCCTCATTTTACCTACCCCGGAAGGATGGAAGGCTGAGTCAACCTTGAGCCGGTGAGATTTGAACCGCTGACCTGCTGAACACAGTCAGCTAAAGTGGCCTGCAGTACTGCACTCTAACTGCTGCGCCACCTCGGCTCATTTCTTCCAAACCTTGGCATCATGGCAGATGAAGGATAAGCAACCCAGAACTCACACAGGGCCACATCCCTAATTGTACTCAACCAGAGATGCCAGGTCTGTGTGTTTATTCACCCAAACATCTCCTTTCACAGAGAGCCACCTTTATCAATAGCAGCCTGAGCTCAAGCTGTCTGATTCTTTGGCGAGCTCAGGGTATATACAGTAGGAAAGGGAATATTAAAGAATGTTAAGTCTGAGTTGATAATTCTTAGATATTTCTTAACACATGACTGGCAAATTTAATGCAAACTTGTAAAAGATAAAATATAACAAAACATAAAATAATTTTTAAGAATACTGTACCTGCTCTCATTTATCTCAGAGGTTTTATTAGCAGGAGCCTGAACCAACTGTTTATCAACTGGATCTATCAATAAATCAATATATTATTTCATTAGAAAAGAATATATGTAGCTCAGGGTTAAACTGTGAAGTCCTCAGTGTTCCTGAGCTTGGTTGTTTGTTTAAACATCTGTAATCACACAATCAAGCTCAAAAACCACCAAGGACTCTATATTACTGCATATTGAATATATATGAGTATATAATAGAGACTAATGACTGAGAAATCCAGTTTTTTTGAATTTGAAACAACTTTACGAAGTATCAGTGGTATTTCTCTTTTAACACATACCAAACTTAAGCAATCAAAATTAGAAATACCAGGAATCAAGAGTTGCAATTTCTAAACTATATTATATTCTGAATAAGTAATTACAAAGCATTTTTTTTCGAATGTATACGCCCACCCATCTCACAAGAAGTAACTGGATGGCATACAACAATTAAATAAAACAATTTAAAAATTAAAATTAAAAACAATTATTATTTTAAAAAAGTCAGATTTCCCTACAGGTTTTCATTTTGGGGGGGATAACTATCTTTAGCCAAGTTCTTGAATACTTGAAGCTTTTCCTTCAGTTTTATATTATCTATGAATGCACATAAGATGAACTCATAAATAAATATAATGAAAGGCACACGTTTTGTGTGATTTAGAGCTACACAGGTTAAATAGATTTTGAATTGTATTTTTAATGTAACAAATTATAGTTGTGTCATTCTGTATACACAAAGAGCATAGAAAAGGGCAATAATGACCTTCAGGGTTTAGTGAACGGGATCTAGACCAGCGGTCCTCAACCTTGGCAACTTTAAGACTTTGCTGGCTGAGGAATTCTGGGAGTTGAAGTCCACAAGTCTTAAAAGTTGCCAAGGTTGAGGACCCCTGGATTAGACAACAGTTTTCTTTACTTTCATTGACAACTGTATGCTGGAATCTTTAGGAGCAAGATGGACTGCTATGCAGACCATAGCAACTGTGCAGGAACTGACTAGACCCTGGCACTTAGCCCTGTAGCTCAATTCTGCCCAACAGATACCAGCTGTGAAAATCTATGCCAATAAGATGGTTTCATTTAAAAAAAACCCTCAGTATTTCAATTTTGACTGGGGAGAGTGGAGCAGCATCATGTTTTTACTAGTTTATAAACCATGATGTAACTATGCATTGTTCCAGCAGCAATTTAATGCCTGCATTATACAGTATTAGAGTCACTGGGTCTAAATCTGGAATCTCATCTTATTTCTATTTAGTTTTTCTGATCTGTTTTCTTCCTGATGCTACAAGAAAAAAAATATCCCCAAGAAGCGATTCAACAAGTTGTGATTACTTTGCCTGTCTGCAATAAAATTAAGTTCATACATCAAGTTAATCAATGATATGGTTTGTTACATTTTGCCCTGTGTGCTGTTATGAATCTAATTAATTCTGATGTATCACAACTTATTGAAAATATGATAAAACAAATTCTGGCTTATTGCTATGAATGAATGCAGTCAGTATGTTAGTGAATCAGTTAAATTTAATTTGCCAACAGTAAGATCAGTTCAACAAAAGCTGTAAGTGGCTTCACTTTGGCATTTTTATGACAAGCCTTATAGTCTACTATTAGCAATCCTCTAAACACAGGTTATCCTATCAATGGAAATAATGTTGCATCTGATTACCCTTGGTTCCTCCCAAGTTCATATTCCACGATTATTTGGCCAGATAGTTTTTTTTAATATAATGCATAAACTTGAACTTAAAGTATGAATTACTTTATCCATAATTAAACATGCTTTAATATGAAATATAATTTGAAGTTCACCTTGAGGTTTGATTTCTGTTGTCTCTCTTTTTACTTGCTTCACTGATGCTTGTTCTGTAATTATTTTCATTGAAGTATTTTCTGGATGTATATCGAACTCTAAATTGAAACTCTAAATATATACATATAAGAATCATTTATTTAATCGTACAACAGATCTTACCAATTCAAAAATTTAAATTTTTGTTCCTGTTCAGTTTAAGAAACTTCTACCATGTTTGCATAATTTAGCTGTCTAGATAAGATGCACTAAATTACAAGGACTGCTGCAATAGCTGCTCTAGAGGTAATTTATCTCATGAAAATATTAACCAGTTTCCTTGAGTCTTTGTGCACATGTATAAAGAATTTAGAAATTCTAAAACAATACTTTCAATCTTCAAGAAATCTTAGGGTTGTGCAGAGCTTCTGATTCAAAGCAAAAAGGTGCCTCGAAGCATTCAGGAACATGTATTTGGATTCAATGTAAAATAAATGTCCCTTTCCCTAAGATCACACAGCACTGCAATGGATGTCTAAACAGGCCCTGAAAAAGATGCAGCTGCTTTAAGAAGTTGCAGAAAACATGTTCACATTAGAAACCTTTTATGCTTTCAATTTTAGAAAATCGTATCTAGTTATTCTTGCATATACCACCTATGGCTTCATGAGGTATAGTAAATAACTGTGTAGTACATCCACAAACAATATTTCAGAGATACCTCTAGCTCTCAATAAACTAGCAAAAAAAATCTCTCAAATCTAAAAAAATAACTCAACTCATATTATGTTGAGCTTATCTGTCTTCCCCATGATACTCAGTTACATATGTGAAGTAAAAAATGTAGACAAAACATTACAAACCACTTTTTTACAGTTAGCTTTTAGTAATGTGTTGCCTCTTAGTGCTATCCTGCTCATAGACAGATCAGATGGAGTCAAGTGAGAGGTCTCACTCTCCCTTGCCAAAAGCCTAACCGTTTTGCTGAACATGAGCAGAGTGGAGGGCCGGGGTGGGGGGAGAACTCTGGATCTTCCAAAGCACAAGCACTGTTACAGAGAAGGCACACTTCACACTAGATGACACTATTTAACTAAAGGAACCTGGAGCATGCCAACATTGCAAGATTAAAATGGTCGGGCAAATACAATGACAGGCAGTCCCTCAAAAAATCAGTCCTGATGCCATGTAAGATTTGTATAGACAGCAACCAGCACATTGAATCACACCCAGAAATAAACTGATTGCACTGGATGCAACCAGTAGAGCTCACAAAGCTGATTGCACTGGATGCAACCAGTAGAGCTCACAAAGCTGATTGCACTGGATGCAACCAGTAGAGCTCACAAAGCAGAAATGTTACATGGGCATACAAAGACATGCTCATCATTGCTTAGGCCACAGGTGTCAAACTCAATTTCATTGAGGGCCGCATCAGCATTGCGCTTGCCCTCAGGGGGGCTGGGTGGGTGTGGCCAGGGTGGGTGCGGCCTACTGGGTGGGTATGGATGGAGTGGGTGTGGCCTACTGGGTGGGCATGGCCAGCTCTACATCGTTCGCGTCAAGGGTGCCTGTGGGGGCCTGGGCAGAAGTGGGACAGATCTGAGGGTCAGTGGGACAGAAGGGGGTGGTACTGGGGCAAGCGCCAAGGCATGGTCCATTTCTTCAATCCTCACAAAGGGTGACCCCACCCCAGCATGCACCCAGGGGGCGGAGCCAACACGGCAGGGGCTGGTTCCTCGCTGTTTCTAGATGGCCTTGTAGAGCTAAGACTGAATGTGTTTCAGCATAGATGGCCACCACAAAATTGTACATTGGCTCCCGGACGGCCTGGGCCAGGGCCAAGGCAGTGGGGGCCATTCCCTCACTGTTTCCAGGATGGTTTTGTGGGCCACATGAAACCACTTCGCAGGCCACATCCGGCCCCAAGGCCTTGTGTTTGACATGTCTGGCTTAGGGCATTCTGTTCTGGATCATTTGAAACTTCTGGATGGTCTCCAAGTGCAGCCTCATATATGTGTGTTGCAATAGTCAAGCTACTATGTTATTAGGGCATGAGTGATAAATGATGTAATAAATGATAAATGCACAATAGTGATAAATAGGTTACTTTAAACAGAATGCACTGTATTATACTCATCCTCAAAGTACATATTGCCCCATAAAACAAACTAATTCTGCAATAAAATACAAAGTCATACTGTTATATCACAAAATTACAAAATAATTACCTTGACTGGTGTTGGCCCAGGACAATGCTTTGCCTCAGACAAACCATTCTGTATAACCTGTACAGTGGACTGTTTGGCATGCAGTATTCTGTCTTTAATCTGGATTCCTTCAAAATCAGCTGTATTTAACTTCTGTTCACATATTGTGCTATCATTGTTTTGGGATAATTTCCCTTGAACTTCTGGAAGGTGTATTTCTACAGTTCTGGCTTGTTGTTCCTGAGGATCATTACATTTTAAAACATCAAGCTTTAAAACATCAAGCTTTGGAATGCTTGAGATACTATGGCTCACATGATTGACCTTAGTTAATTTTATTTTGGTCCATTTAGAATTTTTATTCACTGTGCTATGTCTGCCATTTACAGTACATTTAACAGACATCCCTTTTCTGCTGGGAAAAAATCGCTTACATTGAGAGTTCTGGTTAGTTTTCTCATCATTTAATACTACTTCCTGTGGCAATTCTAGTACTGGATTTTTTCCCTCCTCTCTTCCATGGTCAGAGTTGGGAGAAATTCTTTTTACCTCAACTGTGTCCGATTCAATCTCACCTGCAATTTCTTCACACAGTTCAAGAATGCTAATCTTTTTGGATTTTACTACATCCTCTTGTTGGCAAACAGGTTCTACTGGCACAGCTCTATCTGCTTTTACATTGATTTTTCCATTTTTGTGCTTTGACTTTCCTTTGTTTACTATACTGCAAACTGAATTTATAGGACAGGAAATTGTGTTGGCAACTTCCTTTTCAGATTTTTGATTACTTTCAAAATTATTTCTCAGTTTTCTTGGCTTATCTTGAGATGTAGTTGAATCACTGATTTCAGAATCCACCTCATGTTTTTGGGGGGAGAAGCAACCCATTTTCTTATTATCTGATATTTTTCTTCTTTCAATTTGATAATCATTGTCTTCCACAGACTTTCCTGGTTTCTGGTGGACGTGTTTCAATTTTTCATGTTTAAGTTGTGGTACCATCTTTTTCCTTGGGTTACATTGCTTCATAACAGAAGCATGTGTTTCTTTTACTTTTCTGCTTCTCAAAGATATTGTAGAAACATCAGACGACTGCTGCAATCTTGGTGATCTTCTAGTTTGATGCCCATGTGAAACAGTACGTTGTGACTTTGGAAGGCCCTGCACTGTGTCCTTCTGAGATACTTCCTTAGTTTGTTTGACAGGTAACTGTTCTTGCCTAATTCTAACAGCTTTACCAGCTGTTGAAGTTTTAGTCCACCTTGCTTCACTGTTCTGAGAAGCTGACTTTTTTATAGAAGGGGTTTTAGAATTCTGAACCTCTAAGTTATTACTAATATATTTTTCAGATTTTGTAATTTTTTTGGTATTTTCTTTGATTGGTCGCGATTTTGAATGCAGGTTCTTATGACTCGTTTTACCACACCGGGCTGCATGCCTTTGACACCGAGCTTCAATAGGACGTATTTTACAATCTACAGATGATTTATTTGGTTTCTTGTTTTCATAGGAAGTCTTATTTTTGCCAATGTTGCATTTTCTCTTCCCCCTAGAACAGATTTTGGAAGAAGATTTTGAAAGATTCAGAGAATTGGCATGCTTTATTTTGGAAGATTTTAGTGATCTCTGTGCAGGACATAATTTACCTAAAGATGTTAAGGATGTCCGTTTAATGCACATCATTTTACATGCTTTCTTCTTTAACTCATTTAACTCAGTCTGTTTGGAGTTCCTTTGCGCTTGTTTATTTTGGGAAGATGATAGAGAAGCTCTATTTATAAACTTATTGGCAGCTGACCTGTTAGTTGTGGCAGAGAGTTGGGGCACTTCTTTCTTCAGCACTGCTTTCTTATTTGATATGCATTTACCATCCTGAAGTTTTCTTTCTTTGCTAGTAGAAACTGATTTATTACTTTTATCCAATTTCCGCCGCTTAGCAGAGGATTCTACCAGCACAGATTTCCTTTTCTGTGCTGCCATTTCTGAAAGAAAAAATATTCAGTTATAACTACATTCTTGAAAAATGATTTTTAAATAAGAAGCTTAACATGTTGACTTGGTTTACTCACAAGTACTGTTTTGAAAGCGAATTCTGCCTCAGTAGAAGTGTACTGATCTGTGAAAAATGCATTCCTTAGGAATTTACATCCAAAGAGAGCATTATATATATCCTATAAACACAGGAACAATAAAGTATTAGTGGGAGTGCCACTAATATTAAGCACAGTTGTCTAATTTTTAGGGCACGCAATATATACTTGGAAAACATCTGGATTATATATCAGATTTCATCATTTTCATTTTCCTACTTATATAATATTCTAATATCAGTGAAGTTTAAATTGCACATATCATGAAAAAATCAGCATGCTAACAGGTACATTACTGTATATCTAGCATTATAAGGACCATAAATCTACTTTTTATTATTTTACACGCTCTAATTAAGGCTTATGGATCCAGAAATTATTTTTAAATTCCCATAACTTTGTCATTTTTATAAGGTTTTGGAAAAAATGAACAATTTTTCTTACTCATTAAGAAATAAATACAATCTGCAATAAATACAGATTTAATATATTTGTGCTAAATACACTGAAAAAGAAATATATATATCCCCTGAGTGTTCTGTATGTTTCTACTATAACTTGAAACTTTCAGTGTCAAGAAATGAAGATCTATGCTCACTTTCTTGTTATACATAAAATAAAATAAAAATTCAGAGATATTCCAACTATAGTGAGGAGATGAGCCTCTAACTGTCTACTATCTTCCATTTTGAGCCAAACATATTTCCAATTTAAGCTTATTCTAAGAGAACTCCTTTGCTTGGTTGTGACAGCAGTTGATTTGGAAACTAAATCAATTAATACCAGATAAAAGTTTTTTCATGATTAAGTACATCACATAGACCAGGGGTCCCCAATCCCCGACGTGTGGACCGGCACTGGGCTGCGGCATGCCAGAAACTGGTCCACACAAACAAGCAAAGCCCCATCTGTGGAATGCAGGCAGTACATGAAACCAGGGCCCCTCCAGTCCGCAGAAAAACCTCTCTCCATGGAACCGGTCCCTGGTGCTCAAAAGGTTGGGGACCTCTGACATTGACATTATACATATAACACACATATTTCTCAACTTATTTTTTTCCTAAGAAGTTCTAGCTGAAAGGCAGTCTCCTTTTACCCATTTTGTTTTCAATTAATCCTGAGGCATATATGAGTATAGGATTGAAGGAATGGAGGAAAAATTAAGAATTTGAAGCCAATAAGCCTACTGTAATAAGCTATTTGTTAATATAACAATGAGTAAGAATCTGGAAATAACTGACGCAACACCTGTAGTAGAACTGACTATAGCCCTATTTTGTATATGTGGGATAACAATCTAGGGCTAGTGTCATATAAAGATGCTACCTACATTTTACATTGCCACTTTCTCAAACTATACACAGGTTCCACATACTTTACGCTACGTAAATACCGGTACCTAGAAAATTTAGCCAGATTACAGAGCACTTATTAACTTACACATTTATCATGGAGAACCAGTAATACAGTTTCAGAGTGTATGTAAGATTTGGGCTTATTATCAAAGTAGAACAGTGCATATTGCAGAGAAAAGAAAGCACAATCCTATGGCAGAAAAATTACATTGTTTAGAATCAAGATAAGCAAGAACAGCTTGAAGTCAACAACAATCCACAGAAGAAATTAGCTTCAAAGCCTTAAGATCTGTCTTAAAAACTAAAGATACATGGTTTCTTTAAAAAAAAAAGTCAGCTTGGGCATCTGTACAAACCAGAATCACTAGAATAACATTTGAACTATTTCCAGGGGCAGGAGAAGAGCCAGGAAGCTCTTTCAAATGCTAATGTCAAGTTAAGCTATTTTGGGTTTGACTTAGCAGAATGTGCACCCCAACCACTCTTGCTGTAGCCATGGTTCATGATTTAACATAGCCTGTGAAGCAGATTATTAGTGTTAACAAGCTATGATTAAAACAAGGCCCCCAGATTAACCATCCAAGGAATCCCCACAACCAGGTAAGAAAAGCAGATCAACACATAGGTTTCAAAACTTCACATTGAAAGAATCCTTTTCTACCTCAGGGAAAACTGATGCTCTGTAGGGCCCCAAAGGGAATCCCCTACAGACTTTCCTAAGAAAGTGGCCTTTTACCTAACACAGGGCTACCGGGAAGTGGAAACCAAAGGTAGGCCGAGCCACCCACCTGCTTCTCCTCCTCCTCCTCCTCCTCCTTCTCCAGAGTGGCTCAGAGTTGAACTGTGGACTTCTTGGTACTCTCTGAGCTTGGTGAAGTTTCCTAGTTTGGTAATGAAACGTCTGCAAGAAAACCACCAAGCTCAGAGAGCACCAAGGACCCCAAAGGCGGGTTTCTCCGAGACTCTTCGATCGTTAGTTCAGCCGCTTACCGGGCATTTCGGACGGGCGAGAAGGAGTAACCAAACCGGGCGCAGCAAGGCCACGGCCTCCTCTATTTCTCCCACTTTTTCTCTCCGCCCCTTCTCGTCAACTAGATAAGGACCGCGAGCGAGCCCATCTTTTACCACTGGCAGGAGGGGAAGAGCGGGTGGGCCGCCTCACCTGGCCAAAGGACCCACAAAGCAGGCGGAAGAGCGCACGAACAAAGTCTCCGGGGAGCAGCGGATCCCGGCTCGCCTCAGCTTCCGCGTCAGCGCGGCGAACTCCCCATGTCACCCGGCCGGCACGAAAGAACGAGGAACAAGCCGAGGCGACCAGAGCGCCTCCCCCATCCGGATTGAGGGGCTCGAGCCTGAAATTCGCTTCCGAAGTGGATTTCCGGTTGTCAGTTGCAGGTTTCAAAGTCTCCCATATGCGGGGAAAGAATGGACCGACGTGTTTTAAAGCCCGCAAACCTTTTACAAACTCCGCTCCTCCCACGCATTGGGAGGCTAGAGACTGTTGCAATTCCCTAAAGAACACGTTTGCTTCGTCCCTCCCCCCGTTATGGTACTTTTGCTTTTACTCCAAGGAGAAAGTCAGAAAAGCAAGCAAGTGGTGGGAAAAGGTTCCCGCGTAGACTTTATCAAGGGTCCTCAGTCTGGAATGTAATAAATAAATAAATAAATAAATAAAATCGGATGGCCGCCAGATGGCAAAAAAGCATGCAGAAAACTCGGGTGACATCAAGGCGTCCAAATGTTCGCTGATCAAATTTCATAGCCGACCTATATCGGTTCATTTATGGATTTAGCTCTGTATTCTGCCTAAAGTTTCACCTCGGTAGAAACTGACATAAGTGAAAGTGTCAAAAATTCAATGGCGTGCATCAGTCTTAACCAGCTCCGACAAGTTACACCCATACCTACCAAATTTGTGAGGAAAAATGAGACATTGGGAATCGGGCGGCACACATATTTAACATATTATATTATTATCAACATCATCAAGGTAATGTGGCTAACAGTTTAACAAACTGATTCAAACTAGTGACTGTTTTTTTCTGTTCTTTGAGGAAATGTTGGAAGCCCAATAATAGCGTTGTCATAGGACTAAAAATACTGCTTTACACGCTCTAAAGCTGCTAACAATAGGAGACTCAGGTTATTAAAGTTTACTTGTATATATCTTACTGTAAATTAAGGAAATCGAATTCATATAATAAATGTCCAATTTTATTTAAATCGATCTTCTTTATTTCTATTTTACTAGTTTACTTAAAGATCAACAGCGGCAACCATCAAATTTTAAATTGGGTAAATATTATTTTCCAAAAGTCCTGCATTGAGGAACCAGAAGTGTATCAGCGATTGCCTTTTTCTTTTGCTCTTTACACCAACAAAGTTTTCGCCCGAGAACGGTACCAGCTGACACCTGACAGGCTCTGTTGCCTCAAGTAAGAGTGACGTCAGAACCGGATTTCCGAGAAAGCAGTAGGAAAAGCAACAGTTGCACATGCGTCGTTGATTAAAAGCGCCGCTTAGGGAACCATAGAGTTATTCAAAACGAGTTAATGCTAATTTTGTTTATTCCATCTTACTCTTGCAATCAGAATTTTGTCTATTACGGAGCATGCTCAGTTTTCTTCAGAATGTTTTAGCTTCCTGTTTCTGACGTGACATTTAAGCGAGGTGCGATCACTGCTTTGCAGCAAAGAAACGCTAAATAATTCTGCGATATGATGTAATATGATTGGAATGCCATATTGCCTTTATTTCAGAAAGCTGCCCTTTAGATTTATTTTTTATAAAAACTATTATGTTCTCTATTTTAGTTGTTTAACTGGTATGTACAAATGGTACTAATTTAGGCGGTCTTTCATGCGAAAAGTATGAAAATTGAATTGTCTTTTTTTTTTAAGTAAATTTACATGCAGTTCTCAGTTAATGACCATGTGTTCGTCAGTGCTTCAAAATTATGATGGCTCTGAATAAGGGGGACTTAACAGCCAGCTCCGAAGTTCTGGCTGTGGGAGCACTCCTGCAGTCATGTGATTGCAATTTGGCAATCACTTCACATTTATGATGGTTGTGTGTCTGGCAATCTCATGATTGCCATTTGCAACCTTTCCTGCGGGCAGGGAAATTTGCAAGTTGATTCAGTAAGTCGCTCAGAGTCCTGTGCCTGGCAGCAGCCATCCTGTCCTTTTCAGGCTCTCACCATGCTTCTCTGGCCACCTACATACCCCACTCCACCCAGCAGCAGCTGCTTATCTATCCACAAGCTTGCTAGCAAAGTGCCTAGGACTTGTGAATTCCTGACAGCTTCTCCATTTATTTGTTGGAAGAATACAGGAAGTTGCAAGGAGCTCCTCACTTAACAATCCCTAAGTCTCACTTAACAGCAATGGGGAATGCCTGGATTTCTGATGTCTATGGAGGTTCTCAGTCATCCAGGTCATAGTTGTCTCAAAGATGCTTTTTCATGAGGCAACTGGACTTGTTTTTTCTGTGAAAGACATTTTGCTTACTGAAGTAGCTTCTTGGATGAGAAGTGAAATGTATTCAAAGAAAAAACAAGCCCAGTTGCCTCGTGAAAAAGCATCTTTGGGACTGGATTTATAATGCTAAGCAGTATAGTCACTGTCATGCTTTACAGCTACTGTCATTAAGTGAGATTATCTGTATAGGTATTTCTCATTTACCGAACATCCCATCATTAATTATTCAAAGTTGCAATGGTGCTGAACAAGTGATATGCCTAGTTCTTAAAGTTCTGACTGTTGTAGTTCCCCCCACTGTCATATGACCCCAATTTGGGTGCTTGGCAACTGGCTCACACTTATGATGGATGCAATCATGGGATCACCATTTGTGACCTCCCTGCCAGCTCGCAAAAGTCAATGGGGAAGCTAGTAGGGTAGGTTGCAAATTGCTTTCATAATCCACGGACTACTTGTGTATAATTTGATTTTAAATATTTTTCTTAGAATATGCTTTTTTGTAAAGTTTTTCTTTGTTTGTTTTTATGTTTTCCTTTGTAGAGAAAATAATAAACAGTTAAATTATCCTTATGAAAGCTTCAGATTTATCCCTTTTTCAGGTTTGTACTTTATTTTTTCCATGAAAATGTGGACATGAGTATAATGTAATATAATATGATGTAATATAACATTCCAGATTTTTATAGTCTAGGTCTACTAGTCTGCTTTTAAGAATCCTCTGAAAAACTGACACTGCTTCTTATATACAGGTTGTGCTATTTGACCTGTATTAAGCTGTATTAAGCAATGCCATTGGGAAACTGGTTCCATTTAAGGTTGTTAATATCAGTTATTGATTTTTGACACCACCACCACCATGTGCCACACTCGAATAGAGATAAAGGTTTCCCAAAGTAATCTTTGTGAGCCTCTGATGAATATGAGTCAAAAGGGCTGGATGAAGAGGTAATGAAAGCTCTACTAAAGAGCAAAGAGAAGGCATCTGGAGAAATAATGCATCATCTGTAAAATACTAACCTTGGGAACAATCGAGTTACATGAAAAGAATGATAAAAATGAATGTGATAACAATAGAAATGAAAGTTTGCAATGTATTAGAGGCATTGGAAAATGTTACTATCAAAAGTGGAATGTAATAGTTTTATCTATAAGCTGAATAGGATAAAACATAATTTAAAAGATTAAAAATATATAGTATAGTACCAGTTCTTACGAATCTTGTTAAGTGATCTCAAAAAAGCAAACTGAGGTCAAGTCTGGTTAATATTCAAACAGGAGAGACACTCACCAGGCAATTAGAGAACTACAAAGGAAATGGAGGGGGGCATGAAATCAGCAGGAGTTGAGCTCATAGTAAAGGACACTTCTCTTGAAAACAAGCTGCAAAAAGAGCACAGCAGGCCACTTCCTTGGGGTTGCAAGATAACTTCTTGGACTTGGAAGGTAACTTGTACAATACTAATTCTGCTAAAAGTACAAGTAACTCCTCAAAGAAAAAATAAGAAATTAAGAATATGTCTCCTTATAGAATGTTTCTATAAAGATACTCTAAAATATCTTATCTGACAATTCTGAGAAGTTTGAATTGTAATTGAAGTTTGTAATTTACTGCAATACTGCTCTTGGGCATTACAAATGGATTTTTTTCTCCAGTCCAAAATAAATTGGCATCCTAGTTTAAACTCAGCTCTTTCACTGAGAAACCTCAGATTTCAACCACAGTACACTTCTGAATAATGTAAGAATGCTGTGTATGCATTCTAATCAATATAAATAATAGTGTGTTAATAATAATAATAATCATAATAATAATAGTAAAGTTGGAAGGGACCTTGGAGGTCATCTAGTCCAAGCCCCTGCTCAGGCAGGAAACCCTACACCATTTCGGACAAATGGCTGTCCAGTCTCTTCTTAAAAACTTCCAGTGTTGGAGCATTTACTGCTTCTGGAGGCAAGCTGTTCCACTGATTAATTGTTCTCACTGTCAGGAAGTTTCTCCTTTGTTCTAGGTTGCTTCTCTCCTTGATTAGTTTCCACCCGTTGCTTCTTGTCCTGCCTTCAGGTGCTTTGGAAAATAGCTTAATTCCCTCTTCTTTATGGCAGCCCCTGAGATATTGGAATACTGCTATCATGTCCCCCCTTGTCCTTCTCTTCGTTAAACTAGACATACCCAATTCTAGCAACCGTTCCTTATATGTTTTAGCCTCCAGTCCCCTAATCATCTTTGTTGCTGTTCTCTGTACTCTTTCTAGAGTCTCAACATCTTTTTTACATCGTGGTGACCAAAACTGGATGCAGTATTCCAAGTGTGGCCTTACCAAGGCATTGAAGAGTGGTATTAATACTTCACGTGATCTTGATTCTATCCCTCTGTTAATGCAGCCTAGCACTGTGTTGGCCTTTTGGCAGCTGCAGCACACTGCTGGCTCATATTTAGGTGATTGTCTACTAAGACTCCGAGGTCCCTCTCACAGTTACTACTATTGAGCATGGTGCCACCTAGGCTGTACTTGTGCATTTGGTTTTTCTTGCCTAAATGTAGAACCTTGCTTTTTTCACCATTGAATTTCATTTTGTTAGTTAGTGCCCAGTGTTCAAGTCTGTCCAGATCCTTCTGTATCTGAAGCCTGTCTTCTGGAGTGTTGGCTATTCCTGCCAGCTTGGTGTCATCTGCAAATTTGATGAGTTCCCCATCTATCCCTTCATCCAAATCGGTGATGAAGATGTTGAAGAGTACTGGGCCCAGAACAGAGCCCTGGGGCACCCCACTACACACTTCCCTCCATATAGATGCAGTTCCATTGAGGACCACTCGCTGAGTACGGCCGGTCAGCCAGCTATGGATCCATCTGGTGGTGATTCTGTCTACCCACATTTTTCTATCTTATCAAGTAGTAGGTTGTGATCTACTTTATCAAATGCCTTACAAGTAAATTATGTCTACAGCATTCCTCTGATCCACTAATTTTGTCACTTGGTCAAAGAATGCAATAAGATTTGTCTGGCATGATCTATTTTTGACAAACCCATGTTGGCTTTTAGTAATGACTTTGTTTGCCTCTAGGTGTTCG